TTGCAACAAGCTTGCTAATTTTCAAGCACAGTAGCCACTTGCTGCCTAACGTTAACGGTTCAGACAATGAGGTTAGAAAACAGCTGAATGGTAGGCAATTATTGTATGTAATTATTGTAGGCAGCCAGCTGGCGTAATTACAGGCACTCTCAGGCGTGAAACAACTATACCGTTGCTAATAGCTACTCGCCAGCTAGTCCAGGTGGTGAGTTAGCTAGCTAGCTAGCTTCGTGCTACACCCGGCACCGCCGAATACAATACTAAACTACAATAATTACATACAATAACTACCTACAACAACCCACGATACCTACCTACAATACCTAACTACAATCTAAATACATAGTTTAAGCCTTACTCGACAAAGCCCAAGCTATGTATAAAGCCAAACTTACACGACGCCAAGCTCCATTCAAGGTTGCTCCATTCAAGGTTCATATCCCTATTGTACTTGACACACTGCAATACACACCTTTCCTCTCCGGTCATCATGAAATTCCATGATGTCATCATAAAAATAAAAATGAACAATACCTCTGACTGCTCTGCCAGAAACCTTAGTCACACATTGTGTGGACATGAGGTTGTTGTGATCCTTAGAACCAGAGCCTCTGTGAAGACCACCACTGCCTCTGCTGTCTCTCAGGGCATCACCAGCTCTGCTAGAGCCTCTGTAAGTGCTCTCCTCTGCTATAGCCTCTAAGACAGGGGTGTCAAACGTACGGCCCGCGGGCCGGATCAGGCCCGCAAACGGGTTTAATCCGGCCCGCGAGATGATTTTGAAAAATATATATATATATTTTTTTTAAATTGTAAAGTATAAAAATGCGCTGCAATTTTTCAATAAAATAAACTGCTGTTCCAATTGCGTCCACTGGATGGCGCAATAGCAATTGTGTTAAGCAAGCAAGCTGTTTATACCGGGGCAGAGCAAGTAGGTCAAGCACGTGCAGCCAATGAGCTACTTTGTTTTGCCCGCGATATTTATTACGGCTTCTACTTTTAACATTATGTGCTTTGGCACCCTCATTGCCCCAATATGTCTCTGTCAAAAAAGAGAAAAGTGGACGCAGAGTGTTCCAAGAAAAATTGTCATCCTATTTAATCACGGAATTGAATGGGAAAGCTGTATGTTTGGTGTGTTCAGAGCATGTTGCAGTGCTGAAAGAATATAACCTTCGTCGCCACTATGTGAGTCTTCATGCCGACAAATATGACAACTTTCAAGGACAGCGGAGATGAGAGAAGGTGAATGAACTGTTGGCGGGTCTGAAGAAACAGCAGTCTGTGTTTACTCACAGCCGAGACATCAGTGACGCTGCAGTGAAAGCTAGCTACCTCATTGCTAATGAAATCGCAGTGGCTTCAAAACCATTTAGTGAGGGTGAATTTGTAAAAACATGCATGATGAAGGCAGCGGAGATTGTGTGCCCTGAAAAGCGGCAGGCTTTTGCAAATATCAGCCTGACAAGAAACACAGTTGCAGACAGGATTTCCGATCTTTCAGTGGATTTGGACAGCCAGTTGAAGCAAAAAGTAAAGTCATTTATTGCGTTTTCGGTTGCAATTGATGAAAGCACGGACATTACAGATGTTGCACAACTGGCCATTTTTTCATCCGCGGAGTTGATGACACATTGACCGTCACCGGGGAGTTCGTGGAGTTGGTGCCGATGACAGATACAACGACAGCAGCTGATATTTTTACCGCACTCGTCGGCGCGCTGGACAGGGTCGGAGTGGACTGGTCCCGCGCTGTCAGCCTGGCTACAGATGGTGCGCCCTCAATGATCGGGAAAAAAGCAGGCGTTGTGACAAAGTTCAGAGAGAAAGTGCAATCTGCAAATGGAGGACGTGATTTTTTGACTTTTCACTGTATTTTGCACCAGGAGGCTTTGTGTTGCAAGTCATTAAAGATGGATAACGTCATGAAGGTGGTCATCCAAACTGTTAATTTCATCCGATCCAGAAGCCTGAATCACCGTCAGTTTGACAGCCTTCTCAGAGAGAAAGACCACATCTATGGCCTGCCATACCACACTGAGGTAAGATGGTTAAGCCGAGGTGCTGTGCTGAGGCGTTTCTTTGATTTACGAGAAGAAATTGAACAGTTCATGGAAGAAAAGGGCAAACCAGTGTTAGAAGTTCATTCCGCAGAATGGATGCCGGACCTTGCATTTATGGTGGATGTTACAGAGCACCTGAATAACTTGAACAAACAGCTGCAAGGGCGCAACAAAGTTGTCACGCAGTATTATGACAGCATACGTTCTTTCAAGTTGAAGCTGTCATTGTGGGAGACGCAACTTGCCGGTGGTGATGCAGCTCACTTCCCCTGTCTGAAAAATGTGTGCGCGACCCAACATGTGGCAGACATGAAGCGGTTCAAAGATAAAATAACGGGACTGTTACGGGAGTTTGAGCAACGCTTTCAGATTTATGTTTATATGTTTTTATGTTGATGTGCTATTGTTTTTAATTGATTTTATTTTATTTGTATATTTAACCTATTCTTGACTCTGTGGTTCTTGCACTTGTTTGGGGAACAGGATTTCATAATTGTTATCTACATTTCTGCCTGAGAAATGACACCCTGATATAGTTCTGTGATCTGTGAAACAGTTCTGTTAATCACTGAGGCATTGTGTGTTTGTGTGTTCTTTTTCTTTAGAATTTTCAAATAAACTTGACGTGTTTTATGATTAATAGTGATGTTGTGCTTGTACTATTTTGGACACACTGTCCTCAGGCTCCAGCTTTATGTTGTATGTTGATCGTATTAAAACAAAGAAAACAATCTGAAGTTGTTGTTTTTAAGTTATATATACCATGATTTTTCCGGTCCGGCCCACTTGGGAATAGATTTTCCTCCATGTGGCCCCTGAGCTAAAATGAGTTTGACACCCCTGCTCTAAGAGGAACCTCAGTACATAACACACTGTCATTTCTTAACTAATATCATTACATCCATTAAAAACATGGCAGGAAAAAAACTGTCAGTGTTTTGATTTGATGAAGATATTGTGAGTAATCATATTCATCTATTTTTATCTTGTTTTGCATTCTGTTGTCTTTTTCATTTTCAGGAGAGCTGATTGATGTGTGGACTACCTGCTCAGGCAGACTGGGAAGGCCATACAGGGCATGGACCCTGACTCGGAGGAGACTGATTTTGAGGACTATGCAATAAACCCACAGTTGGTAGTCTTCTGGATGACTTCTCCACCACCACTCTTGACTTCTCTGCTGCCAGTCCCACTAAAGGCTGCTCCCACTAAAGTCCATCCTGCTTCCTCCAGTGCCAAGTATGCTGCCACCAGAACCTGGCCTGCTTCACCCATAGCCCAGACTGCTGCCAGCCAACTCCACCCCATGCAAAAAACTTGATTGGGTTGATAAGTGGCAACGCGTCACTAGTTTCCATATAGACACTGCTGTACTCCAGCCCTTTTTATATTTTTTTCTAAAATGAGGGTCTTGATTCAATCAGATCGAGCGTTAACTTGCGGTTGATCTTGTGTGTCACAAACCACTCCCTTCCTTCCCACTGGACACACACTGGTTGAATCAACGTTGTTTCCACGTCAATTCAATGAAATTACGTTGACCCAACGTGGAATAGACGTTGAATAGACGTTTGTGCCCAGTGGGTTATTATCCCTAATGCATTAGAAGTTCAAAACGGCGCTAGAAAGTGTAGGCTATTGCATAATTTGCATGTTAATTTGGATGGGGGATTGAAAGCCTATCAGTCTAATCGGGAGTGGGGCCTATAGCCTACAATAGAACATCACGCATTCAATTGTTTGAACTTGTAATGCGGCTGCAGGAACTTCTAACGTGGCTGCATGGGATTTGTCGGATATAAAGTCCCCAGTCGAGACTATAGTGGTTGTTTAGAAAGGTTATTTCTAGCCGAGGCGGGATTCGAACTGGGGACCTTCGGGTCCACTCTCCCCTTCCTCAAACACAGGAAAAAAATGAAAAGTCGCTGGTTCGAATAGTGCCTGCCTGGTGATCCAAATACAGGCCTACTCTGAAGGACTTGTTCTAGTTTTGTGCTTGTATCACAGTATTAGAGAGGCAGGAGTTTTGAGACTACAGAAGACAGACAGACACACACGTGTGTGTGTGTGTGTGTGTGTGTGTGTGTGTGTGTGTGTGTGTGTGTGTGTGTGTGTGTGTGTCTGTCTGTTTATGGCAGCTCCAACATGTCACATTGTTCCAGTATGGCGTGTGTGTACCTCTCTCATAGCGTTTATCAATATTTAGCACCAGTCCAACCTCCTCCTCCTCCTTGCTCACACAAACACACTAAATCCAGGAACATACACCAGAACATACACCAGCTCAGACACTTTGCGGATCCACCAGGGGTGAAGGGGGGCCAGGGCCATTGTGTACAAGTCCCTAGGGAACAGGGGCAGGGTGTGTGTGTGCTTGTCTGCGTGTGTGTGTTGCAATGAAATAATTCCTACTGACCAAGTGCCCGCCAGCTTACTCTTTTCTGTTTTGGTTGAACAGCTACTACAGTATTTAGCTCGTTGAGGATTTATATCTACAAAGCCGTGTTGTTTATCATGGGGCTCAGCCAGGGCTCAGCATCACTTTCACTAGAGGGCCTCAGAGCTGATGCTGAGCACTGGCGAAATCGTCAAAGCGTTTACTTATGATTGACGGTAGCTCCACCCAATCAGATTTCCTTATATCGTATTTTCGACCAATAGATTTACTTGACATTGTGTAGGGGGTGGTAGTTATACATTCCCGGTTATTGAACCGCTACATTCAACAGTGGCGGCGGCTTCCAAACTGTCAGGTATCAAAGAGGTGTGTACTACTCTGTCATGCCAAAGACACTATCTGACTTCATTCGATATTTTTTATTTTATTTGAAGAAAACAATGCTCTCCAAGGTGTAGCAATTTGGAGTCTTTGTTCGAGCACATCACCACGGGTATGTAGCTAACCTAGCAGATGGAAGCTAGCAAGCTGGCTAACGTTAGCTAGCTAGCTAATTTAGCTATTACCAACACAAACCGTGCAAGCCAACTTGCCCGCTAGTTTGGTTACTTACTTGCTAGCTAGCAGTGGAATTAAACTATCATGCAGTATGATAGTTAGCAGAAAACATCAGTTTATTTGCAAGCCTGCTCGCTAGCTGGTGTAGCTAGCTAACCAGATCAGATGTTGTTGGCTAGTTAAGGTCTCCAGCTAAACTAACGTTAGCTATATTACGTTCCAGTAAAGATTCTTAATCAAATTTTTATCGGCTAGTTACGCAATACTAGGTCTACATTTAGTTTGTCAACATTGATGCCCTGTAGTGGGCATGTGTGAGATGCTGTGATTGCTGGCCTGTCTCGGTCTTGTAGGTCTGTGTAGACGTTGCGACAAAAGACAAGGCAGGGAGATGGAGGTGGGCTCAGTGGTGCATGAGGACATTACTTTCCGAGGAGTGGAGTTTGCTGTGAAGATAGAGCTAGAAGAAGGATTGCTAATAGTCGAGATATCTGATGCAATGACAGCTGACCAGTGGAGGGGAGAGTTTGACCCAGCCTGTAAGTGAAGCGTTAAATTACAATTAATTTATATGGACATTATAGACATGACTATTTATGGTCTTATCATGTTTTCATTGTGTCCCAGACATCGAAGACCTCACTCGCAAAACAGGCAACTTCAAGCAATTTCCCATCTTCTGCAGCATGTTGGAATCTGCTGTTAGTAAGGTGAGTCTGTGAAGCATTAAAGGAAGCTAAAACATGTATGATTTAAAAGTGTTCTGATTATGATGCATGCTTTTTCTTCAGACTAGTGAGTCTGTTACCCTTGACCTCTTGACCTATGCTGACCTGGAGCTCCTGCGGAACCGGAAAGCTGGGGTTGTTGGTCGTCCGCGTGCCCAACAGCAATCTCCTAACCTCAGTGCCAAAAGATACCTCATCCTTATCTACACCGTAGAATTTGACAGGTTTGTCTCTCTTTTAGCGATATCACTACCTTAAGCTTCACTATGAATCTCTGCATGAATCTTACAACTGCGAAATTGCCAAGTTAACCTTTCCCTATCAATTATTTATATAGTGCCTTGAGAAAGTATTCATACCCCTTGAATTATTCCACATTTTGTTGTTACAACCTGAATTTAAAATTGATTAAAACATGTTTTATCTCACCCATCTACACACAATACTCCATAATGAGAAAGTGAAAACATGTTTTTAGAAATGTTAGTACATTTATTGAAAATGAAATACAGAAATATGTCATTTACATAAGTATTCACACCCCAATGCATTTTAGAATCACCATTGGCAGCGATTTAAGCTGTGAGTTTTTCTGGGTAAGTCTCTAAGAGCTTTGCACACCTGGATTGTACAATATTTGCAAGCTCTGTCAAGTTGTTTGTTAATCATTGCTTGACAGCCATTTTCAAGTCTTGCCATCGATTTCCAAGCCTAATTTATGTCAAAACTGTAACTAGGCCACTCAGGAACATTCAATTTCGTCTTGGTAAGCAACTCCAGTGTATATTTGGCCTTGTGTTTTAGGTTATTGTCCTGCTTAAAGATGAAATGTCCTCCAGTGTCTGTTGGAAAGCAGACTGAACCATGTTTTCCTCTAGGATTTTGCCTGTGCTTAACTCTATTCCTTTTATTTTTATCCAAAAAGACTCCCTAGTCCTTACCGATGACAAGCATACCCATAACATGATGCAGCCACCACCATGCTTGAAAATAGTGGATGAGAGTGGTACTCAGTGATGTGTTGTGTTGGATTTGCTCCAAACATAACACTTTGTATTCAGAACATAAAGTTAATTTCTTTGCCACATTTTTTTTCAGTTTTACTTTAGTGCCTTATTGCAAACAGGATGCATGTTTTGGAATATTTGTATTCTGTACAGGCTTCCTTCTTTTCACTCTGTCATTTAGGTTAGTATTGTGGAGTAACTACAATGTTGTTAATCCATCCTCAGTTTTCTCCTATCACAGCCATTAAACTCTGTAACTGTTTTAAAGTCACCAGCGGCCTCATGGGGAAATCCCTGAGCGGTTTCCTTCCTCTCTGGCAAATGAGTTAGGAAGGACGTCTGTATCTTTGTAGTGACTGGGTGATACACCATCCACAAGAACTGTTCATGACACACTGTTCACAGCCCTCTTGTTGGCGGAGAGAACATTTTGCAGGTTTAAAGCTTATTTCCTGCAATTCTACACATTTTGTCATGGGGTGCAGAGAAAATTATGTGGTTTTGAAGTAAATTTTCTTGCAATTCTATACATTTTGCCATGTCTAATGTGTATTCATTTGATATTTGACTGCAAAATATATGGGCTAAAAAACATTAGCTGACGGGCTAGTTGATCTGGACATTTCTGACAAGTTATAAATGGCTCTCTAAGGTATGCAATGACTGACATGACAAGAGGAAAACTGATGATGCACTGCCTGATATCGAAATTGCACCTTGTGCATTCTACTATTCCAACTTTCAGTGGTTCCTCCCGGTTTGGAGCCACTGTACTAGATGGCTGATAGGGGGCGCAGGGTCTCCCCCACCATTGTAAAAATTTTTTTTTAAATTAATGTTTACATTTTTTTTTGCCATGTTTATTCTATTACAGACACCTTAATGCATGCTTTAAAATTATATTATGTGAGCTAAACAATTTAAAAAATATATATATATATTTTTTAAATCCTTAAAGTATAATTTAAAAAAAGTAAAATACTTAAATACATGTAATTTTGTCCTTGAAACATTTTATTGAAATACTGTAGAATTCCATTCATTCCTGTGGAGGAATGCTCCTTCTGGGAGTGCCAATATGACCGACCTGTGGCTTCAAAGCCTCTCATTGGCCAATACATAGCATCAGCAATCCAGGGTTTGTATACATCATTGTTCCCTATAGGATCCACTACCCCCTGCCTCTGCCGTACCATGGCAAGCCTGATCCTGCCGCCCTGCAGAAGGAGATCAGAGCTCTGAAGACTGAGCTAAATGCCCTTGCTAACCATGCAGGTCACAAACCAGCAGAGCCAGAGATACGCCGGCTACGGGCAGAGTAAGTTATTATCTATTACACTGTTGTTCTCTAGACTCTTGGCCTCACTCAGGCCAGAGGTTAAGGGCCCTGACTGTTCTCTGTCTGTTGTCAGACTTGCCTTGGTGAGAGAAGAGAAGGAGGCCCTGACCAAGGCTCTGGAGCGTCTGCAGATAGTGGGGGCTGGTTCCACCCCTGGAGGAGGGGCTCGGGGGCTCAGAGAGGTGGTCAGGAGTTTAGAGGACCAGCTCCTCAGAGAGAGGGCCAAGAGTCAGCGCTCAGCCACCAAGAGGGGCCAGGAGCAGCGCCTCCTACTGGAGCAGGTTGGTCCTTGCATGCATCCTATTTCAATTAAGCATGTAGTCTGTAACTTTTATAACTTTGAATAATTCAGCATGACTGGCTTTGTGTTGATGGAAATAATGTAGCAAGTAACATAGATTCCTGCATACCATAACAAGGCCTTGTGTGAAGTACTAATTTGTGTGCCATTATAAGTAAGATTGCTTGGAGCTGATTCCTCTGTTAAGGTGGTAATTCAGACGTTTCCTGTCTCCTAGTTGGAGGAGCTAAGAGCATCGGAGAGAGCTCTCCGGATTCGCGTTAAGAGTTTGACCAATGAGCTGGCGTTGCTTAGGCGAGGGTTAGTCAATCTAAGCATGTATGTCTTTCCTTTTTCTTTTGTCTCTCTTTCACGTTCACTCACTTTCCTACTTACTTACTGACTCACACACTCCTTATGATACTCTGCCTGTGGCTAATGTTGTATACTATGTGTGTCTGTCTTTAGTAGGTTGACCCCTGCCCTCTCTGGGCGCAGTGCCTCACGGGGTGATGGAGAGATCAGGCGCTCACTGTCCCGGGAGCACAGTTTGGGACGTGTTGTGGTCAGGGCTCGCTCAGGGTCCAGGGAGAGGACAGAAGAGAGGGGTCGAAGGTCAGAAGGCCGTAGGGCAGACTCCTCAGGGCCCCGCTCGCACGTCTCCAGACCCTCACCTTCTCCCACAGGTATCATGTTTTTTCTCTCTTTATTAGACTTTGGAGTTGAAAGGTAATTCAGCTTCATTGCATTGTTTTTGACTTAGTGTAAGTTTGGTAATGAAAAGGATTCAATCAAAGTTGATGTACCACCAAGTCTGAGTAAAGCTATCAGGGCTTGATTATCTGCTTGGTTTCTTAACTATGAGCTCCCTGTCGTTCCTATTTACAGGTTTGCGAGCACCACGCTTTGACCCCACTGCATATATCCAGGACAGACAGCGCCGACTGAGAGAGGGGGAGCTCAAAATGTCAGTTGTCTCCCTCTATCCATTTAACTGTCATAACTATCTGCAGTGCAAGCTTGTGCCAATTATACCAGTGTTTCATGCATGTGAAACACTTTTATAGTGATTTTCATGTGCTGAAATACAGTCAAGGATTTCAAATGGCACCCATTTTAGTTTAATGCTAATACGAAAACCAATACTGAGTGATACTTTGACTGAAATCACGACTTAACTTGTCCTCCTGTGTTCTCTCTCTCCTTCAGCCAGAGGAAGGTCCGGAGGGACATGTTAGCATCGCCTGTTCTGGAGAGGGGCCGATCTCGGTCCAGGGAGGCTTATCCCCAGCTAACCAGGGCAGGCAGTGGGAGCAGAGGGAGGAGCTTATCAATAGAGAGTAGGAGGAGCAGACAGTCCTCTGAGAATTCATTGGTGGAGTTGGATGAGTTGACAATCAGGTAAGTTATTCTATAACTTGCATCTATATCATATGGTATTACAGTTCAAACTGGGTTTGTTTGAGAAAGTGGGAGATGTTATGTTGCTTTACTGCGTGTTTCAGACAGGTCTTCATTTTGTGTTTCAGAGGAAGGAAGCAGACCTACAATGGTCCAACCATGGTGAGTGCGGTGTGTTCTTTTTACAGCTGGTGATAGACCTTGACTTGACATGTTAGTGTTGAGTGACGAGTGACAGTGATTTCTTTTTGTAGCCCAGAGGAGGAAATTTGACCAGGAATCCCCATTGCAGCACTCCCACACGCAGGATACGATCAGACAAAGGTAACCAGTCCATGCCCTTCTCTCCAATCTAAAGTGTAATCAGAGTCACTTAGCTAAAGAAGTTAATGTCATTTTAATATGAGCCCTGGTAACATTCTGTGTGAGACCCATGCTGAAACCAATGATTTAACATTGGCTGTGTACTGCTTGTCCTTTACCCAGAGGGCTCCATAGATGGGGCTGACCTGTCTGAGATTGATGCCCGGTTGCAGGCCCTACAGGACTACATGAGGGACCTGGACACGGGACACTAAAGCCATCAATTCTGCACACTCCCAATCCTAGGCTGGACAATAAGTTCAGACGTGTTCAATGTGCTGCAAACTGAGACCAAGGACTACTATCTGTGTCGACACTGTGACTTAACAAGACCACTGCACTACACTATGATATTTTTGCACACAAGCAGACATTATCAACCAATAGGCTTATGCAAGTGCAAACGCGGATGCACACACAGCTTATTCTGTCGTCCTCTGGGAGACCGTGCCTGATCTGTGGATAAAGATACCACTGTGAAGGCTGTTAAGCCACTGTTAGTTTGTTGAACTTGAACTGAGGAGTGACTGATTTTATACTGTTGTGACAGTAATACCCCATTTCCCTTTTTATAAAACGAGTGATTGATGAACGCAAAGCTTGTTGTGATGTTTTATTTTATTTTTACTGGATGTATCTCCTCTATTCATCATCACTGCAGCAGCTTTGCCTCTTAGTAGTGTGTCATGTGAGTGAACTAAGTGCAATATCCTCTTTCTCTGCAGTACAGTTATTGTTGCTTGGATGGGCTGAAGGTTCCTCCTTAGGGATTTACTCAAGGGGCAGCTGCCACTACAGCTGGCTGGGTGTCATTAATTAACAGCGAACCTTCCAGGCCTGGACCCTTCCATTCCTGGGTGAGCAGCTGGATAAACTGCTTCCATCTACTACTGTAGGAGGATGAGAATATTGGATGAAGTTGACAGGCCTTTTGTGCTGTTTTTGGGAAGGGAGTTTTCGTTTTTAGATTTGACCTCTGCTGCTAATAAAATGTCAGATGCTTTCCACTTAACTAAATCACCATCTATCAGAAGTTGTTTCTTAGAGGATCATTCACAACTTTACACATTTAAACATTGAATGTACTCTCATTCAATGGGTTTTAGTTATGAATGCAAAGTGCTCTGGTTGTGTAGCACGTGCTAAATACATTATAAGCATTTTAAACTAAAATGGCAAATCTCCAGAAAATAAAGGCAAGACTAGTTCGTTATCATAAACTGAGCTACAGCCCCATGGCAAGACAGCCACTAATCGCTGATTAACATGGACAACGCAGTAGTTTATGGGTGGGGTTAACTGGGTCAACAGGGAGTGGCTAAAGAATAACAAATGCTGTTCTAGCACCCCTGCGTGGTGACGATGGTTGGAAACGTTTGGTCGTGGTTATAAACATTTGAATGTTGCTAATTAAAACATCTCCGAGACATAGCAATATCTGCGTTATTTCCCGTGCAAAAGGTAATGTAACAATAGGCCTGTTTGGGTAGTTAAACTGTTTTGGATGGTTCAAAGGGGCATCGAGTTGCTGAGATCAGCCAGGTTATTGTTTCCCTTCATTCGGAGATAAAATGCACGGTGGCTCTCTCTTTTCGTTTGGATTATTCGTTCCGCAGCAGCGAAATCAGGTGAGGCTGCACTCATTCACCGCTAAATTTCCGATGAGGATGAATAAAACGCAGTGACCACAGCTCATACCCCGATGAGCATGGGTGATATGAAGCACAGTTCCCCAAACGCATCCGGGGATCGAGTATGGTCGGCAGACTCTACAAAACATGCTGCTGATTTCCTCTCACATTGCGAAAACGCACACGAAAACGATCCACAACTGGTGGTCAAATGTAATGCGAGCCCATGCCGAATTGAATTTGAGTCCATCAGGGTTAGCGGGATCTCCGTTGGCTCTCATCCCGAAGAGGATTCGATTTGCTCGGACAGTGGGTTCGGGGGCTCCCCCGCATCACTAATACTCAGAAAGCTGTCAAACGCCTCATCGTCTGGGTTGTCACCCGTCTCGTCTTTTGAAGAATATGAGGACGACCGCGGCTTTCCTGATGAGGTCCCCCGGGTGAGTTTGTGCAGGGTAACATTTGGGGAGTGCGCCCCTGTGAAGGAGAGGGCCCAACCAATATTATGGTAATGATCTCATACTCTTATCAGCTGCCATATGATGGGACCGATCAGCATGAGTCTGAAATAATGTAACATTCTGCTCAGGAAGATGCAGGTGTCATTAAATGATCTGTTTAGAACTGGCTTTGGCTCAACAGTTCTGCTTAGTTTAGTCTAAACTGCTGGAAATGAGGGCAACTTGTGATTTCTCCAGTCCCAGTAAATCTCCATCTGTCATGCCTGTAAATCTTATGCCTTTTCTGTTACTTTGAAGGCACTAATACTGGGTGTGTTTGGGAGCTAACCTCTGGGGGAAAAGAAGTCCACACTGGCACAGAAACTCGAAACACTTGTGATCTGTCTCCTATGTGCCCTCTCTCGCTTCCTTTCCTCGTCCCTCTGTATCTACAGACAGAGGCTCAAAGCCTGTCACTGTATAGGCTGAGCTGGGGATAGTATAGTTTTATTATGCTAGTAGCTATAGAACCTTTTAGGGCCTTAAAGAGTATTAGACTGATACAGAGATGATTACAGAATGCAGCACCAGGGTGTTGCATCATGTCTACTAGCCAACACTCAACAGTGTTATATAGTGACCGTTTGAGTATTGTCTGCATGAGCTAAGGTTTTCCACCCTCTCATTCCCTGATACTATGCAGGCCTCTCCCTTGGCATCCATAATTCATGGTTTTTATCTGCGTTGGCTGCCCATTATCCTACAGTTGACAACATGCAGGAGAGAGGGAATGGGTGATAGAAAAAGGATGGGCATAGATGTGTAGGGATAATATTAGAGATTGGGGAAAGATGGGACAATTATTCTTTGAAATCTCATTTTATTTGTATAGAAAAAAAGTAGTCTAGTTCTAGTAAACTAAGGATTGAAGTACAATAAGGTTTGGTCAACTCCTTGAGGTGTACACTCTCCTTGCCTGGGGGTTTGTAAGGGGTAGTTTCAGGTGTAGCTGCAGGCCACTACACTAATAGAGAACAGATTGGGCAAGTATTTCCACACAAACGCATATCCTCATCTGTACATACTATTGGGGGACACGTTTAGAGTATTGTGAATCTACAGAGACCTAGAGCAGAACAACAAACTCAACACCCACTGTGCATACTCACTGTGGTTTCTAACGTGTGGGTGTGGTCCATAGTTTTCTCAAGTTCACTAAAGCTTTGATCAAAACAAGTCCAGCAGCCTGTAAATGTTTGAATGTGTGCAGCTGTTGCACTAACTATTAAAAATATTGTGTAGTCAGGACATTACTGTTCCAGCTGGTTGATAGGTGTTATTAGGTAGGTAATGTTAAGCGTAGCACAGAGAATTGTCGACCAACCTTTACTTGGCGATACTTCCTTAATTCCCAACTTGGAAGACAACACGTGTTCTAAACTTCCATGTCTAGTTCGTTTTGAATTTAGAAAATGCTCCGTTATTAAATAATTTGTTGGATTACTTCATGGAGCAGAACATTTATTTTATTTAATAACGGAGCATTTTCTAAAAAAAACTTACAAAAAACTGAAACTAGACATGGAAGTTTAGAACACGTGTTGTCTTCCAAGTTGCGAATTGAGGAAGTTTCGGCAAGTAAAGGTTGATCTAAAATTCTCTGTGCTACGCTTAACATGACCTACCTAATAATGCATATCGGCCAGCAGGAACAGTAATAAAGGTCTGACTAGGCAATATTTTTAATAGCTACTGTTGCATAAGATCCCAGCCCAACCTCTCCTACATGTCTTGGCTCAGTCTGGTGGTCGGTCAATGGCTGTTTCCATAGAGACGCTCAGCCATAGGTTAGAAAGTTGTGTGACTGGGTCTGAAGTCTGAGGTTGTGTTGTTCTCATGACGGTGTCTCTCAGTGGAGTCACAAGGGAGTAGGAAAGACAGAGGAGGGACTGTAAGCTAGAGGTGTTGTACTGTACGCTAACGAATGGGGCTGTGAGGTGTAATGTGCACGATTACTTGCTCTCCCCATGCAGAGCATCACATGGAAGAAACCCATAAGCACAGGGACCTTGTCGCCCCTCTCCGTGCCCCCCAAGAAGCCACAGCCCTGGGTGCAAGTGGTTGGACATGCAGGTTGGTTCTTTGTCGGCCTTTCTTTCATTGGTATTTTTCTGCCTTGATGGTTTTGAAGTTAGTCTTTCTTACTGCTAATAAAAGATGGCTGTGTAGTACCAAATGTGTTTTGAAAGTATAACACTCCTAGTCTCTTCCCTCTCCACCCTCTTGCCCCTGCTCATGGCTGGCGGGCCAGGGAGCTTCCATGCAGGGGACTATGGGATGCTGCTGAAGCGCTACACTGAGGGGGAGCAGCAGTGCCTGCAGAGGCTGATGGAGGACTCTCTGAGGCCCTTCGTACCATGCTACCACGGAGTGGTGCAGCGGGCCGAGCAGGACTACAACATGATGGACGACCTGCTCACTCACTTCAACTCCCCCGCCATCATGGACTGCAAGATGGGCACCCGGTGTGTGTGACTGTGTGATTCAGAGACACTGGGAGCTGGTTTACCCTGACCCAGATTAAATCAACCTCTGGGCTAAAGTGTTCTTTTGAGTCCAGGAATAGGCAAACCGACTCTGGGTGTGTTGTCTTGTCTTGTGATGAGTATGTGTATATAATATTGAGTTGTCTGCTCTGTTAGGACATACCTGGAGGAGGAGCTGACGAAGGCTCGGGAGCGGCCCCAGCCTCGTCAAGACATGTATGAGAAGATGGTGGACGTGGACCCAGAGGCCCCCACTGCAGAGGAGCAAGCCCTACAGGCAGTACTCAAGACCAGATACATGCAGTGGAGAGAGACCCTGAGCTCCACCACCACTCTGGGTTTCCGCATCGAGGGAATCAAGGCATGGACACGCACACAGACAAATGCAGGGAGATAAGTTGGTTAGATGTATTGCTCCATTGTGTTTCTATGGCTTAAGTGCTGTATGATTGGAGCCAAGGTTGTTGAACTTTGGAAGGGAAATGACATCTTAGTCATTTAGCAGACAAGGATTTATTTAAGGTTTTTCTTTAAAGAGTTAAGGTTTCAGACGTTAGAAATATCTGAATAGAACTTACATCATACTTTTTCATTGCTTCCTCATACTATAGCCTCAACCATTAGTTTTCTACAATCTTTCTTTCAATGCTTGAACATTTGCGTCAGAGTGAGAGAGAGAACTTCCCTCTGTTTTTTTTACCTGCATAGTCCTAGAGATAAGGAAGCAGGGATTGACTTAGAGGGTTGCCTATTGCCTGGTGCAAGTGCACTGAGCAAGCAGCCAGCAGCATACCACCCTGCATCCCACTGCTGGCTTGCCTCTGAAGCTAAGCAGGGTTGGTCCTGGATGGGAGACCAGATGCTGCTAGAAGTGGTGTTGGAGGACCAGTAGGAGGCACTCTTTCCTCTGGTCTAAAAAAATATATAAAAATGCCCCAGGGCATTGATTCGGGACATTGCCCTGTATAGGGTGCTGTCTTTCAGATGGGACGTTAAATGGGTGTCCTGACTCTCAGTGGTTACTAAAGATCGCATGGTGTTAACCCCGGTGTCCTGGCTAAATTCCCAATCTGGCCCTCATACCATCATGGCCTCCTAATCATCCCCAGCTTCCAATTGGCTCATTCCTCTCCCCTGTATCTATTCCTCAGGTAGTTGTTGTAAATGAGAATGTGTTCTCAGTCAGCTTACCTGGTAAAACAAAAACTGCTCTGAGGTTGCCCCAGCTGATAAAAAATAAATACAACTCTAAACTGCAAAGAATTCCACTAGGCCTAGCTTAAAACGGATAGTTTTGGTTCATCCCCATTGTTTTGTTTAAGTGAAAGACTGATCATTTCAGACTGCTCTGGGATTTTCCCATTAGGCAGGGGATAAAAAAACAACCATACTGCAAATAATTTCAATAGCCTAACATAGGACCTATACTGGGGCCCAAGTTTGATTGAAATGAATAGGAGCGTCTCACACTTGGCAAAAGTTGCGTGTCCAATGTCGCTAGCAGGTCAGTCAAAAATATATATTTTTCTGTCTCCTCCCTGTTGTTTAAGGGACTGAAGAGTTATGGCATTTCTGCGTGTAAACAACTATTTCCAATTTTTTGGGCAAGTGGCCATAATCTTCGGACAACCAAAGAATACTCCTGACTTGCCCGATAGGCAAGTGCCTTTCAGACCTAAATGTAATTCCCTGAGGATGTTGCCAAAATAATTGTATGTAAAGGTGCCTGTTTGGGCATGTATGTCTCATGCACGGTTACCTCAAATTATTGGCACCCTTGATAAAGTTGAGTAAAAAATACTGAGCTATATTGTATGCTCCCCCAAAAATGTTTTTGTACTAATACAATTGTTAAGAGAAAAATATTGTTTAACAAGTAATTGGGAGAAAAAAATCTCCAGATGTAAAAAATGTTGGCACCCCTGTTTTCAATACTTTGTGCACCCTCCCATTGTGAGGATAATGGCACTTAGCCTTTTTCTATATTGTTTTATGAAATTGGAGAACACATTAGGATGGATCTTAGACCATTCCTCCATACAGAATCATTCCAGATCCTTGATATCCTTCGGTCTGCCCTTATGGACTGCCCTCTTCAATTCAAACCACAGGTTTTAAATGGGGTTCAAGTCTGGAGACTGAGATGGACATTGCAAAATGTTGATTTTTGTGGTAAATTAACAATTTCTTTGTAGATGTTGATGTGTGCTTGGAGTCATAGACTTGCTGCTACGTTTCAGCCTCCTGGCAACCGGGTTTTAGGCTAAAATGTCCTGGTACTTGGTAAAGTTTATGATGCCGTTGACCTTAATAAGGGCTCCAAGATCAGTTGAAGCAAAACAGCCCCATAACATCAAATATTCACCACTATATTTTACAGTAGGTATGAGGTTCATTTCTGCTTATGAATCCTTATTTCGCGGTGAAAGCCACCACTGGTGTTCGTGGCCAAACAGCTCTATTTTCATATCATCTGACCATAGCACCTGGTTCTAATCCAAGTGCCAATGCTTTTTAGCAAACTCCATGTCTTTACATTTGTTGGTTGCTCTTAATAAAGGCTTTTTTATGGCAACCCTTCCAAATAGCCTATTGACATGGAGATGGTGTCTAATTGTAGATTTTGAGACTTGGTGACCTCAAGATGTGACCAAGTTCTGTTACAGGTTGAGAGAATGCCAAGAGTGTGCAAAGCTGTCATCAAGGCAAAGGGTGGCTATTTGAAGAATCTCAAATATAAAATATATTTTGGTTAGTTAAATTTTTTTTGGGTTACTACATGATTCCATATGTGTTATTTCATAGTGTTGATGTCTTCACTATTGTTCTACAATGTAGAAAATAGTAAAAAATAAAGAAAAACCCTTGAATGAGTAGGTGTTCTAAAACTTTTGATGTGTATTATATGTCTACAACATTGTTAAATCCCTGTGTAGAAGGCTGATGGTGTGTGCAACACAAACTTCAAAAGGACCAAGAGCAGAGAAGAGGTGATGCAGGCACTGCAGGACTATGTGGGCTGCAATGCCCTAATTCTGGTGAGTGTGTGTCGCTCTTAATCTTACCCCCTTCATCCCCCTTCCTCTCTCAGGATTACATTTCTCGTCTCCATTTTCAGAAGGGATATCTAAGACGACTGAAGGAGCTTCGACAGGTGTTGGAGACATCCGACTTCTTCAGGACACACGAGGTAAGCTGTTTTGCACTGCTTTCGCAGTATAATGGATGCTTTGCATGTCTTGATGCTGGTCTATGTATGGAGAGGTGCACACTAGCATCTGTCTCTCTCTGTAGGTGGTGGGCAGCTCCCTGCTTTTTGTGCATGACAGTACAGGGAAGACTGGAGTATGGATGATTGATTTTGGGAAGACTGTTCCCCTGCCGCCGCCTCTCACCCTGGACCACCACACCCCCTGGGAAGAGGGCAACCGAGAGGACGGGTACCTGTGGGGGCTGGACAACCTCATCGATGTCCTGACTGACATACTGCCTCACCTGAACTGAACCTCAATCTGACTGACACAGGACCTCATCCCAACCAAAACTCCCTCTCCCACCTGAACCATACAGCATCTGAATGGCCATGTCACCTTTCACCTTAGAAGGTTGGACAACCAAGAGACTGTTCACACATTGGACTTGGATTCTGTGTTGGTGTTTTTAACCACATCATTAATGATGTTAGTTACTAGTGTACGTTTTTGTAAGAGAGCTTTATAGATAAAAAGAAAGCAATGAATTGACCTACGTGACTTCAATGAGGGCCAGCCTATTTTCTGGTAAAGAATGCAGTGATGTGTACTGAACCTGTCACCCATAATAAAGTGTAGTGCGCTATGATAAACTGCATCTAATGGGTTTAATGTAATGTCAGCTGCATTCATATACAGTGCATTCGGAAAGTATTCAGACCCCTTGACTTTTTCCACATTTTGTTATGTTACAGCCTTATTCTAAAATGGATTAAAAATAAATAATCTCATCAATCTACACACAATACCCCATAATGACAAAACAGAAACAGTTTTTTTGAAATGTTTGCCAAATGTATTATAAATACAAAACTGAAATATTACATTTACATAAGTATTCAGACCCTTTACGCGGTACTTTGTTGAAGCAGCGATTACAGCCACGAGTCTTCTTGGATATGACGCTTACAAGCGTGGCACACCTGTTTCTCCCATTCTTCTCTGCAGATCCTCTCAAGCTCTGTCAGGTTGGATGGGGAGCGTCGCTGCACAGCTATTTTCAGGTCTCTCCAGAGATGTTTGATCGGGTTCAAGTCCGGGCCCTGGCTGGGCCACTCAAGGACATTCAGAGACTTGTCCCGAAGCCACTCCTGCGTTGTCTTGGCTGTGTGCTTAGGGTTGTTGTCCTGTTAGGTGAACCGTTGCCCCAGTCTGAGGTCCTGAGTGCTCTGGAGCAGGTTTTCATCAAGGATCTCTCTGTACTTTGCTCCATTCATATTTCCCTCGATCCTGACTATTCTCCCTGCCGCTGAAAAACATCCCCACAGCATGATGCCGCCACCACCATGCTTCACCGTAGGGATGGTGCCAGGCTTCCTTCCGACGTGACGCATGGCATTCAGGCCAAAGAGTTCAATCTTGGTTTCATCAGACCAGAGAATCTTGCTTCTACTGGTCCTTTAGGTGTCTTTTGGTAAACTCCAAGCGGGCTGTCATGCATTTTACTGAGGAGTGGCTTCCGTCTGGCCACTCTACCATAACGCCTGATTGGTGGAGTACTGCAGAGATGGTTGTCCTTCTGGAAGGTTCTCCCATCTCCACAGAGGAACTGGAGCTCTGTCAGAGTGACCATCGGGTTCTTGGTCACCTCCCTGACCAAGGCCCTTCTAGGAAGAGTCTTGGTGGTTCCAAACTTCTTCCATTTAAGAATGATGCCACTGTGTTCTTGGGGACCTTCAGTGCTGCATAAATAATTTGGTACCCTTCCCCAGATCTGTGCCTCGACACAATCCTGTCTCTGAGCTCTACGGACAATTCCTTTGACCTCATGGCTTGGTTTTTGCTCTGACATGCACTGTCAACTGTGGGAGCTTATATAGACAGGTGTGTGCCTTTCCAAATCATGTCCAATCAATTGAATTTACCACAGGTGAACTCCAAGTTGTAGAAACATCTCAAGGATGGTGAATGGAAACTGGATGCAGTTGAGCTCAATTTCGAGTCTCAGCAAAGGGTCTGAATACTTATGTAAATAAGGTATTTCTGTTTTTTATTGGTAAAATTTCTAAAAACCTGTTTTCAGTTTGTCAGTATGGGGTATTGTGTTTAGATTGAGGAAAACATTTTATTTCATACATTTTAGAATAAGGCTGTAACGTAATAAAAAAAGTGAAGGGGTCTGAATTCTTTCCGAATGCGCTGTAGATGATGTTGCCATAGTCTAGGACCGATAGGAACGTCGACTGAATGTTCTGCATCCTGCTATTTAGCGAGAGGCATGATCTATTACTATAGAAGAAGCCCATTTTTATTCTCCGCTAACTCATCAATATGCTTTTTAAAAGACAGCTTTTCATCTATCCAGATGACAAGATATTTATAAGCGGGGACATGATCAATGTTGGCACCATCCAAAGTAAAATTGCCTGAATCATCAGATACATTTTAAAGTGTTTTGGAAAACAACATACACTTTTATTTCTGCATTCAGCACTAATTTCAGTTCAACAAAGATTTTCTGTAAAGCAATGAATGCATACTAGTTCAGAAAAAGCCTGGTCATCGGCATACTTTTATTTTATTTTTACAGATAAACAAATATTGTTAATGTAAATGGTGAAGAAAAAAAACGGACCAAGATTCAATCCCTGTGGTACAGTTAAAAAAATGTTTATGTCCAGAAAATCCGATTTGACACAATCAGTAAATATACATTACGTTCTGTATGTAAAAAATGTTTTTACCAGCTACACGCAGCCTGGTTCAGGCCAATTGATGAAGGCCTTTGAATAATCTTCGAGTGATCAAGAGTATCAAAGGCCTTACAGGTCAAAGAAAAGAGCGTTAGGACCTAAAACGAAGCCATTTTGATACTTTTATGATCCACATAATCGAGTGACCTGTAGAAGAGGACTCATAAAACCCAGTATCCCACTATGACCTGTATTAAAGAACGCTGCCTTGGACCTTTCTATTTATACCTGTCTATGGGAGAGAAACAGGGTCTAGTTAGTCTGTAAGAGTGTGTGAGGGGAAATATAGGACCATAAACATCATCATGCTTCCAGAAATAGAGCCTAGTGGGGTATCCTGCAGGCTGGAACTACTAAAATGTGTGAATCTTGAAAATCGACACGAAGTTAACTTGCAAGACATATGGCACAGTCTTCCAGTGCCTGTAATTTTAAGTTTTAGTAGCTTTAAATGTAAATACGTTTTTATTTAAGTAGTGCCACTGCAGATATATTTTTCTATTGATGAGACAGTTATGGGTCCCCCCCCCACCTTTGCTATACAACTAAGACATTAAGGCAAAGAGCATATGTACAACTAGAAGTGTGTTTATGGATTTAGTAATATTATATGAGTAGCAGTTCATCAAATTGGCAGCCTGGAACTTAGAACTGAACAATTGTGATATTTTTAGAAAAGTCTGCAACTGGTTTCTTAGACCAGGCTACTCAAATGAAAGCCATTAAAATGTGGACCAACTCACACTTGTCTTGCGGTAATTGTTGTCCTGTGTTATTTGTTAGGCTCACAGCAGTTTGTCATCTGCTGTGACAAAGGCATACTGAACAGAGGTTGCTGAACAAAAATGTTTTATTTGTAACTGGGAATAACAAGAGCTCTACTAGGTGCAAGAAATTATAGTATATGAAAAATAATGTTAGGTAACTTTGGTAAAATATATGTATTCATGTACTCTACCGGTCAAAAGTTTTAGAACACCTACTCATTCAAGGGTTTTTCTTTATTTTTACTATTTTCTACATTGTAGTATAATAGTGAACACATCAAAACTATGAAATAACACATGGAATCATGTAGTAACCAAAAAAAGTGTTAAACAAATCAAAATATATTTGAGTTTCTTCAAATAGCCACCCTTTGCCTTGATGACAGCTTTACACACTCTTGGCATTCTCTCAAGCAGCTTCACCTGGAATGCTTTTCCAACAGTCCTGAAGGAGTTCCCACATATGCTGAACACTTGTTGGCTGCTTTTCCTTCACTCTGCGGTCCGACATCCCAAACCATCTCAATTTTGTTGAGGTCGGGTGATTGTGGAGGCCAGGTCATCTGATGCAGCACTCCATCACTCTCCTTCTTGGTAAAATAGCCCTTACACAGCCTGGAGGTGTGTTGGGTCATTGTCCTGTTGAATAACAAATGATTGTCCTACTAAGGCCAAACCAGATGGAATGGCGTATCGCTGCAGAATGCTGTGGTAGCCATGCTGGTTAAGTGTGCCTTAAATTCTAAATAAATCACAGACAGTGTCACCAGCAAAGCACCCCCACACCATAACACCACCTCCTCCATGCTTTACGGTGGGAAATACACATGCAGAGATCATCCGTTCACCCACACCACGTCTCACAAAGACAGCGGTTGGAACCAAAAATCTCAAATTTGGACTCCTGAGCAAAGGACACATTTCCACCTGTCTACTGTCCATTGCTCGTGTTTCTTGGCCCAAGCAAGTCTCTTCTTATTATTGGTGTCCTTTAGTAGTGGTTTCTTTGCAGCAATTCAATTCACACAGTCTCCTCTGAACAGTTGATGTTGAGATGTGTCTGTTACTTGAACTCTGTGAAGCATTTATTTGGGCTGCAATTTCTGAGGCTGGTAACTCAAATGAACTTATCCTCTGCAGCAGAGGTAACTCTGGGTCTTCCATTCCTGTGGCGGTCCTCATGAGAGCCAGTTTCATCATAGCGCTTGATGGTTTTTGCGACTGCACTTGAAGAAACGTTCAAAGTTCTTGAAATGTTCCGTATTGACTGACCTTCATGTCTTAAAGTAATGATGGACTGTCGTTTCTATTTGCTTATTTGAGCTGTTCTTGCCATAATATGGACTTGGTCTTTTGCCAATGCCAAATAGGTCTATCTTCTGTATACCCCCCCCCCCCCCCACCTTGTCACAACACAACTGATTGGCTCAAACACATTAAGAAGGAAAGAAATTCCACAAATTAACTTTTAAGAAGGCACACCTGTTAATTGAAATACATTCCAGGTGACTACCTCATGAAGCTGGTTGAGAGAATGACAAGAGTGTGCAAAGCTGTCATCAAGGCAAAGGGTGGCTATTGGAAGAATCTTGATTTGTTTAACACTTTTTTGGTTACTACATGATTCCATGTGTCATGTGAATCATGAATCACATGAATCATGTGTTATTTCATAGTTTTGATGTCTTCACTATTATTCTACAATGTAGAAAACAGTACAAATAAAGAAAAACCCTTGAATGAGTAGGTGTTCTAAAACTTTTGACCGGTAGTGTATATGTTGTCAGACTATAAGCTCTGTTAATATATCCCTGATATGGTTTCAAATATATCTCTATGGGTCCCGCATGAGTCCTCTTCCCTTTCGCTAAGAAAGGGCAAGTCCTTGGCAGGCAGGGTTGAGATGGAGGCGTGCCAGTGTGTGAGCATCAGAGAGGGCTCCCTCAGG